CAGATGCTAGATCAGATACGCAAGCCCAGTAGCGCTCGAAGATGTCTGCGCGTGCTGGCAGTGACTGCTGTCCTATATCGACCCGTTACAGTTAGTGAGCTAGTTGTGCTTACTAAGCAGCTTGTAGACCTTGTTGATGACCTAGAGTCTGTGCGGGAGATTATTAGTCTCTGCGGATCATTCCTCACGCTGCGTGATGACACAGTCACTTTGTGCATCAGTCAGCCAAGGACTTCCTCATCACACAAGCGTTAAATGAGGTCTTTCTAGATGGTATAGAATGTGTACATCAAGACATCTTCGCGAAATCACTTGCAATTCTGCATAAGACACTATGCAGAGATGTATATAACCTTCAAGCACCTGGATATACTATAGAGGATGTCGAGCCACCTCTTCCCGATCCTCTAGCCGTGTCACGCTATCCATGTGTGTACTGGGTTGACCACTTCTGCGACTTAAAACCTAGTGCTACTAATCAAGAAACCACTAGGGCTATAGGCGCATTTCTTGAGCAAAAATATCTCTACTGGCTAGAAGCGCTCAGCTTGTGCAGAAGCATGGCCAAAGGGGTAGTCTCGATAACAAGGCTATGGGATCTAGTCCAGGTACGGCTAATACGACTACATCTATACACGGCCTTCCCGGTGTAGTTACTAACGTGGCTAGGGACTTGGAGACACGGATGTATTGAACAAGATCGTGTACGACGCACGACGATTTATTATGTCTTATAAGGAGGTAATCGAGAACTACCCATTACAAGCTTACGCATGTGCTCTGCTATTCAGTCCAACTAATAGCATAGTAAGAAGGTTATTCCAGCATGAAGAGCCTAGGGGAGTAACCATCAAGCCAGCTATGGGTAATGGCTGGAGTGCGTGCCTGCAGACGCTCGAGGGCCATAGCAGTAGTGTTAGCTCGGTGGTCTTCTCGCACGACTCGACCCAGCTAGCGTCAGCGTCAAGTGACAGCACTATCAAGATCTGGGACGCGAGCAGCGGGACGTGTGTGCACACGCTCGAGGACCATAGCGGTCCAGTTACATTGGTGGCCTTCTCGCACGACTCGACCCAGCTAGCGTCAGCGTCTTGGGACAGGACTGTCAAGATCTGGGACGCGAGCAGCGGGGTGTGTATGCACACGCTCGAGGGCCATAGCGATTATGTTACCTCGGTGGTCTTCTC